TTTATAGAACCCTATAAAGAAAAGTAAATGTCTTACCTGGCAGGTGAAGGAGCCAGAATTCAACTAAGTTACAAACTTCCCTCCTCCCTTGGTTGTTCAGTGTAGCCACGCTAGGAACCAGGATTAAAACAAACAAAAAACTACAACAGAGCTTGACAGTGAGATGACCTCTGTCAGAGGGCATCAGTGCTTCCAAGAGAAGTCAACTACCCCTTCTCTCCACTTAGCTGGCAACTCCCCCACCCCCAACTGTGCGCACTTGGAGCAATAACCCCAGTACCATGACTTAGAGCTAGTTATTAAACCTTGGTTCAATAAGGCACTTGTTAAAATGCCTCTTCCTGCTTTCTGTAGAGTCCGATTAAATGAGTTGAGTTGTGTTTACAGGGCTCTCCCTGTGTCCAGTGCAGAGGTGGGTACACTTGCTTGACGTAACAGTGTCTGAAATTCAGGCACTGCTGCCATCATTTGTACCATGGCTTCATCCATAGAAATGGACGGCTGGCCACAGTGATTGCACGTCACTTATTTTGCCGCTGTTTGGTTTAAAAGGTGATGTCTCTCCTGTGGTTTGCATTCTATCAGTGGCAGAATCTTCAGGTCTAGAGGTCTTTCCTTCCTATGGTCTTGGAATATTCCAAGTAGGTCCTTATTGGTTATCGTAGTTAAGTCTAATGAAGGAGGGTGATCATGGACAGACTTCTACAAAAAAGCAAAGTCACATCACTGGTGAATTTAGTAACTTGATGCAGTATGTCCCCCACCCAAGCAGTACAGTGAGGGAGAACCTTGACAGTCTAGTGTAAATACAGTGGTTTAGATTTCCAAGCGATGTTATGTAGTTCAAAGATACTTCTTTATACATTGGTCAGAAAAACAGAAAGCAATACTAGCCAATGTTGAATGGAATGTTTTTGAAGATCACTTTTGCTACACATCATATCACTTGAGGTGCAGTTGCCAAGAACCTAGCAATGATGCTAAGTGAGGACTTACCATACTTTATTTTAAAGACTTATTTATGCATATAAGAATTGGATTGCAGACCAGAGGTACAGAAGGAGAGAGGATTCACCAGAGACAGCATGGGGAGCAGAATAGGCAGAATGACTGAAATACACTGCTGAGGGGAATAGCAGGCAGGTGAGAGAGGTCTGCGGCACCATGTGGGTCATCTCGCTGGCTGGGGATGGAATGAGTGCTGCATTGGCTGTGGTTAGCTTCACAGTGCTGTGTTTTAGTCCATTGCACCACCAGGTAGGACCCTCACATTTTATTTTAGATGAGGAAACCAGAACCTAAAATAATGGAGCCTTACCCAAAAAAACATCAGGTAGTTAGAAGATTCAAGAGTCTCTCCTTGATGAAGCTTCGCCCACTGCTGCATTAGGAAACTGCATTCCTGGCCTATGTCTCACATGGTGGTGACATGCAGGAAGCAACGTGCCTCCTAAGCTGGCTCAAAGCCAGTTAAAATCCGTCAACTCCCGAGCATTAAGCAGCTAGCCCCGAACAGTACAGTCAGAGCCAAGAAGAGTAAGCCAACTAGGATGGAAGCCCTTGCTCTAGAGAATGACAATCCTACATGTGACCTGCAGGACTGTAAGAGCTATCCTTCCACTGAAGAGACGCTTAAGGTTTTAGTCTGTAAGTAACAACAAGGTTTGAAATATTGTGGAGGAGGGGGGCAGGAGTGGACCTATTTCTGCATATTCACCAGATAATTTGGCCAAGGTTATACACAGTGAACTTGAGAAAGGACTGTAAAGAATAACGTCTCGGCCCTCCCTGGTGGCTCAGCGGGTTAAAGCACAGCACTGAGAATCTAAAGCCGCTTCCGTATGAGTTCGATTCCCGCCTGCCCTGGAGGTAACCACATGGTGTGGCAGACCTGCCCACTGGGCCCCCCTCAGCAGTGTACTTTGTCGATCTGCCTGTTCTGCTCCCCACTCTGTCTCTGGTGAAGCCTCTCACTGCCCGAGCCTCTGGCCCGTACCCCAGTTCTGGATGCATAAATAAATATTCCTGATTTATGGCCATAAATACTAAGAAGGCAGGATCAAAAAGCCAAAGACTAATCTAAAATTAGAATGTGAGATGGGAGTTAAAAGCAAAGATTCCTAGTAGAGAATTGGCCATATGATTGTAACATGTCTTACTTTGTGTTGTGAGTTGCACTAGAAATCTGGTTCATATACTTGTATTTATGGGACAAGCTCTGAAGATGCTTGCAATCTCTCTGCATCCACAGAACTAGCGCTTTCTCTGATTTCACGTTGGAGAATAGTATCTGAATGGTTTCTGCTTTGTCAACCATAAAGTGGTTATGGACAGCATGCAGGGCAGGGATTTGCAAGGCCTAACATATGGTGTGGAGTGTTATATGCGATTAGGTGCAAAGCAGTGAGAGAAGATAATTTGGGGAGATCCCACTTTGGAAGTGCTGTCTCCATTGGAGCTAAGGTTAAGGGTTTGGACTTGCCTGTGTTTCTACAACTTTTCTGATGTAGTTTTAAAATTAAAAATGGACAAAACCCCCGATGGATAAGCCAGGTAAATAAACCCAGATTCAGAGCATTTCATAAATGAAATGTTTCACTTTTTTATATGACAAGCTAGTCGCTTTGATTAATAATTTTTAAGGAACCCAGAGGAAGGCATTTGAAGAGGAAACTAAAAAATCCTCATGTGATCATCACAATAATAGGTGGCTGAAAAATGGCTTGAGGAAATTGCAACAGACCCAGAAATTCCCTGTATTTCAGGCAAAAGGACTAACTTGGGTGATCCGTGGCTCCAGATAATCTGATTTGATGTTTCATCCCCTGCTGAAACAGTGGTAGAGGTATCATGCAGGAGAACAGGTTTTGTGCAGAGAGACAGGGTTCCCAGAAATTCATCGTGCCACATGCTAAACAGGTGAGAAACAGCAGCAGGGCGCCTGGAGTTGCAGCATAGGAAGGGAATGCCCCCCAACTAACAGCCATCTGCTCCCCACCAGCTAGCGCCACACTACTCCAGTCCAGAACTGCAGTGCAGGTATGCGTTGGTGGCAGCTGGCTGCTTCCTGGGACACTGTCTGTCCCTGAGAAAGCAGAGCAAAGCAGTTATTTTGCTTGTTTTTTTGAGGCTGCACTTTTCCTAATAATAATAAAGTACAAGCAACCATTAAGAGCTGTCGTGCCTGGCCTCTGCAATAGTACTGATCAGGAGACCATGTATGTTCCTGGATGCACCCTCTAGGAGCACAGGGGAAAGCGCAACCTACCCCTCCAAACTTTGCCCCCACTGATACAGAGTGGCTGGTGAGAACCAGTTTCAAAGGTTGCATGAAATGCACTGAAAGGAAAGGACACTGGGTGGGGCAGCATAGTTCTAAAAGCAAACAGATTTGATTAAAAAACCTGTTCTGACCAGCACCCTAAACTGTAGGGAAGGAATAACATCTCCCTAGGGCTAAGAGAGTTGAATGAAGATAAAGATGTAATATGGGTAGCATGAAGCAAGCCGAGTTGGCCTCAGTTGCTTTCATTCTTAGCAATAAACTCAGCTATCCATCAGAGAGGCCAGAATCAATGAGACAAGCCTGCAGGCTTGACCAGCACCCTTTCAGAAAGACTGAAGTTTCGAATGCAGCAGCCTAAATCATCTGCTCACCAGCAGTGAACCTGCTGGGCTGGTATAAACTTACTTGTGTTGTCTGTTCCCCAGTGGAGTATTAACCCAAAGAGGTGCTAGCAACAGAACAGCAGCAGGAAGGAGAAGCTAGCCCAGCTCTCAACTAGATACCCTCGGACCACAGCCCATGACAGAATCCCCTTAGTAATGCACAGCTGCTATTACTGGCTTTAGATGTGTCTTCCCTTTGACAGTTATTAACAGATACTACAAACGCCCTGTACATGGAGTTTTGCAAAGACAGCTGAAAGAACTTGGTATCAGTAAGTAGGAAACCCTGTAGAAAAGCAAGTAAGCTACTTGCAAGCTCTGTTAGATGTGTAATAAAGGGAGCTATTGCAGATCCTACCTCATTTCAAGATAACAAAGGTCTACTCTTACTTTGTACTGAGCAGCATCATAAATATATCATATATGACACTTCAACTCGGCTGTCAGGCGGGTGCCACTGTGCCCACCTCAGATCAGGAGTGTAGCCCTCAGAGGCATAACCTGCCTACGGGCATGCAGTCTGGCTCAAGGTATTTTAACTCACCCTGCACTTTACTTGTCAAGGAGTTATAAATCACTCCTCTCCTACTCCCTGCGTGATTTATAACTTCATGTTCCAATGAAGATGCATTCAGGGTTATGGTGAACAAAGAACTTGGAGTATGGGCTTGGTACCCAATGCACGGTGTGAGGTAAGAAGGCACAATAAGCAGCCGTCACCTTGAAGGCAGGAGCCCTGAGCTCAGACCCTGACACAGCCGCCTCCTTGCTGTGTTACACCCACAGCTTGTCACTAAGCTGCACGTCCTCCTCTAAAGTCCCCTCATCTAAGAGAATAGTCACAGGCCAGGAAGTAGGCGACTGTTTCCTATTCATAAGGCTGTAGGCAACTGTCAGATGTTATTATAGTTCAACTTATGACTGAATCTTACAAAGTATCTCTTGGCCTCTTAGCTCTCTCAAATACAAACTGGAGTTGATGACAGAGCATCTTCCAGCCCTGGGCTCCAGGATTATGATCCCACATAGCTGGAGGGGCCTGTACCCAGCCTTGAGAAGGGGGCTCCAGTGATTCTATTGTGGTGGGTGCCAACCACTCCTGGAAACCTTGCCCATGCTCAATAGTACAAGCAACTGGGGTGACTCTGGGGAAGGCGCTTGCCCAAGGTCACCTGGCAATCAGTAACTGCCTACCGCAGAACCCCTCATTCCGTCCGCGGGGGCTCACCTGCACAGCCATGCCTTCTGCTGGCCACTGGGTTTTGTCTAGAGAACAAAGCACCTCCACCAGATGAACTGACTGTCAGCGCCTTTGTCTTCTTCCTCTGCAGATACATTTGCGAGCAAGGTGGCGGCCACCCAGGACCAGTACGCAGACGCGTCCATAGGCAACGTCACTGGCAGCAACGCGGTGAACGTCTTCCTGGGGATTGGCGTGGCCTGGTCCATCGCTGCCATCTACCACGCAGCCAACGGGGAACAGTTCAAAGTCTCCCCAGGCACGCTAGCTTTCTCGGTCACGCTCTTCACCATTTTTGCTTTCATCAATGTGGGGGTGCTGCTGTATCGGCGGAGGCCAGAAATCGGAGGTGAGCTGGGTGGGCCCCGGACTGCCAAGCTCCTCACATCCTGCCTCTTTGTGCTCCTGTGGCTATTGTACATTTTCTTCTCCTCTCTGGAGGCCTACTGCCACATAAAAGGCTTCTAAAGGAACAATCAGATATAGTAAATTTATATATATATATATACATATATACATAAAAATTATGTATAACGAACAGAGGAAACTGACATTTGTCATGTTCACTTACCTGCTGATGGAACCCAGCTTCAGAAGCATTCTCTGTACTAGGGCGGAGTGAGACCCATCACCTCCCATCCCCCGGGGCATCGTGACACTGACCGAGGCATGGAGGCAGGGCCATTTTGCAGCTCAGCCTGGAAGGGCTGTGTTCTCTCCAGATTCACAAACCCTTAAGTCTTTGTTTTCTGTTTTTGCTTCACTTTTGGTGGGGGTTGGGGAGGTAGTTGATGTTAGACTTTTGTTTTATTGTGTTCTGTTTTGTTGGATCTGGGCTTTTGCTCTTCTTGTGGGAGGTAATGACCATTCCAAATGCAAATGAACTTTTGGGTTAAAAAGAAAAAGAATTGCAATCCATTGCAATGACGCTCCTTTTTCCAAAACACTTTAAACATGATTTTGGATTAAAAAACTATACAGGCATGGAAGAAGAAAAGGTATGCTTTTACTACATTACTAAATTTCATGGAACGTGAGTACAGGAGAAAATGTTCTCTAAAAGCAGCTCGGGAGCTTGAACAAGGCCAGGAAAAGCGATGGTTCCAGACAGGGTCTGATGGTTAAGATGTGCCGCCTGGCACTCTGCTCAGATACAAGAGTAATGTGCCTAGATGCCCAGGAACATGCAAAACCCTTTCATATCTTAATTTCTAGACTGATGAGCAAGCCCCATACGCTGGTGTTCCAGCCTAGCTGAGTCAACGGGTCCCCCCCCCCCACCCCCCCCCCCCCCCCCCCGCTCCTCCTGCCCACCAACCCTCATGCAAACAGGAAGAACAACCCCGTTCAAAAGGCACCTCACCTTTTCCATTTGCATCAACCTGTGTCCCAGTCCCTTGTGGCTGTTGCCTGGGATTGTTCGTCCATTTTATTTACAGAAGCATCCATGGCTTGCACAGTCCCGTTCCAGTCATGACTGAACATCTGCTCCTTTTTCATGTGCCTGTTTGGGAATGTTGTTGTGATACCTGTTACACCATGCATGGATGAAAAACAAAGCCCAGTGTATCTGTACATAGTAGAGTAGCGTCTATACTGTTCTCCCATTCAGCGATGCTGGTTGAACATTGAAGAATAAGTGAGTTTTCCTTTCGCCTATGCTGTAACTTTTGTGTTACTGAATTGGATGGTTACTATGGATAAAAGGAGAAAATGACGTATTGTTCATGGATCTGCACATTCATTTATGAGAAGCAATAACTGCCATGTGGGAAGCTAAAGGGACTGAGGGGGCAGCAGGCAGATTACAAAGCATGTTTGTGGAAATTTAGCCACATGGAACACACGGGCCTCTGAGAACCACCTGTGGATTCGGAAGGCGAGAGAAAAGGGGGTATGTTAGGGCACCTCCATTTCCACAGTTCCCCTCCCCCGAGAGTATTTATTTCACAGCTTTTCTGTCTGGCACAGATGGTAGATAGTGCTTGTTGGTTTTGTTTTCCTATGTAGAGGCTATTTTGAGCCCTGTTTCTTTGACCATTCAGACCCCTGTGGTAGTATTTACAGTTCCTGAGTAAACGGTATGGTGAACAGTGGGCCTTTAAAAGTGCATCCCCTCAACTTAGAACAAGCCTTAAAGAGGGAAGACGGGTGCCTCCCAGGAGGAGCTTTCCCTCTGAAAGGAAAAGCTTTCAAAGTACTACAAAGCCTGCATGAACCTAACATTCCAAACTAGTGAGTCCACTGATGAGGAAAAGTGGTGACTTTGGTGACCTCTCAAAGCTATTGCCATCTCTGGGCCAGACTGGAGACATGGCTGACCCTCTGTACTGATTCAGAAATACTCAAACACTGTTGAGATTTGTTTTCACTTCCACTTATTCGACATGATCATTCCTTGTTTAATAAACATTTTGATGAAGAATTCAATACTGGTCATCCATTCAATACGCCAAGTACGGTGCTACCTCTTGGGACTAAACCATGAATAAGATGCCCCAGGTCCCTACCCTCAAGGAGTTCCTGGTTCCTCATATTGCTGTGTCTGTGAGTAAAAGTCAGCAGGCATACGGAAACAGTTATCTTGCTAGGAAAAACACAACTATGAGTCCTTTTAACGAACACATTGAAACTGTACAATCACAAATATTTAACTAGCTAAGATTTTCTCTGAGTTTAAAGCATAGGTTAGGACAAGCATCCTTGGCCAGTTTTGGACATAAGGATTTTGCACCAAGAAAGGCAATTATGCTGGTGTTCCAGCTCACTCAGGCCCAATTCATCCCAGCTTTGCCTTTGTAGTGAAACAACGAAACCTATGCCCTAACTCCTATACAATTCCTCCTGTCTCATAGAGCTTCTTACCTGACTGCAGCTCAATACTAGGGGCCTAACTTCTTTGGGGACACACTCTAACCCATTTTTTTTTTAAATCACTAAACAGAAAGTTAGCCTAGAAACACCAAGTAAATATAATCAAAGGATGTGAGTTGTTTAAACATTAGAAAGATTTTTGCACTCATTTTTAGCCATATTTGGAATGTCAATCATCTAGCAAATTTTCACAGAGAACATTAAGAAATTTTTGTGGTTGGTTAATTTTAATTTCAAAGCTTTTTGGTTTGTTTGCTTTTTAAATTTTCATGTTCTAGGGAAAATATTCTGGTTATTCAGGGTTGTTATAGTTGTGTAAAATTATTTCATTTTGTTTGATGATTTTATTTTATGTGTATTGTGCACAGTTTTAGGGGGTAAATGCACTAATTGTGCTGTTCCTTATATGGTACACATTATTGACACAGTCAAATAAAATTTCTAATTGTTTCTGATTTAATCACTCGTGATACAGCATATTCTGTATGGAGTGTTCTCTCTCTCCTCATTGTCATCTACTTCATTATTTTTTATTTTCATGTTTTGAAGAAATAAAGGCAAAAGAGATTATTGTGCAATTGTTCTCCTCATCCACAACAAAGAAAAAACAGGTGTTAAGTATTCAACTTTTGTCAATGTCAATCCTATTGTCATGTCTCCTTTCTAATGCCCAGAAAGAGAACATGTGCTAAATATCAACTATTTTTCCATTTCATTATTATTTTTACACCTTTAAATACCGCCTTCTACCTTTCTGCATCCAAGAACATGGGACTCATAAATCACGACACATCTAACCATCTTTCACCATGCAGAATATTAAATCAATAAAACTTTAAATGGCAACAAAAGTAATTTGATGACCAGAATAGCCCTGACCATTAAACAGTCTTTCTTAACAATTCAATGACCCAATGATCCTCAAGCTCTTATGAGCTAATTTTAATTATTTCAAAGGTTCTGATTCAAACCTTCCACCAGTGAAGATTATATATCTCCTTGCTTTTTGTGGTTCACAATATAAACGCTCCAGTTTTTGATGTTCAAATAAATTATCAATGTTGTTTTATACATTTTATTGCTCTCACTGACCGTGACTATCCCGAATATAACATCTTTTCCCCAGTGGACTCACTATTCATAAAAGTTCACCACCTACCCTGACTTCTCCAGAGGGCTTGACTTAGTGGTGGTTGCACAGCCGAGTTCATTTGGTTTGATTCCAACCTGTCAAAATAAAGTGAGATTGATTGGTTGCTATCTCTGCATACATCTGAGAACTTTATAGAAGTGATTGAAAAATAAGTTTCCTCTGGTAGGTGAGGAAGACCTCATTCTCTAATAGTAGCATATTTCCCCTACTCAAGAATTTAAAGCAGCCTCTAGAAGACACAGCAGTTTCCTGACTCAAGATGTAGAGACCCTCTTTTTGATTCTGGTTTTCTATCTCTGATTTTAGGCAGTTATATCCAGAGCACATTTTGAGTATAGTTTCACAACTTTCAAAAGATTTTGGCCATTTTCTGTTCGACAACATACATTGCATCTCACTCCAACCAACATGTGGCATTTGACTTTTGATGTTAGTAATCATTTTACTTAGTCAAGGCATTCCAGCTGTTGAAGTTGAGGATTTCAATTGACAAATGCACTAGGTGAAAAAGACATAAAATCATACTTTACAAAGAAAGACACTGTTAAGAGTGGTTTCATTCAGATCTACCTGCCAGTTTTCATTAATAGCTTTCATTTCTGCTCCTCTTTCATCTAACCACATTATCTTCTAACCAGAAAATTTCAAGTGACGGGCAGTCTTGATAATATTCTACTTACAAAGATAATACAGGAAGAGGAAACAATTGTAATAGATAATTCATTTTTGGAGCTTAATTAGGTCATGGTTAATCATTTCCCAAAGCAGAGACTATCTTAACTATAGAAGAACTGAGTTTGGAACCCCAAAGGAGAGAGCACTTCAGCTACCCAGCCCGCAGGAAATGGTAAGTATCTAGTTTACTGTGTCTCTTTTTTTCCCCCTACTTTTCCTGCTGAGATGTCCAAAAAGATGAGGTTTTTTTTTCCCCCATGTTCAGTTTTATCAAAGATCCTCTGATTTAATCTCCTAAGGGGTATTTAAAATAGTGGTTATTGTATAAATTATTTGACTGACATACTCGTAGAGAAAAATATAACCTCATAACTTTAAAAAAAAACAGAATGACTTATTAAAGCCAGACCCACATCTTCACAGGAAAAGCTGCTGCTCTGAATCAGCTTATCTATAATCAGTGCAGGATGTCATAGCTGCTTGAACTACACGTTCTCTTTATCATGTGGTAGTAAACTTTTACAAAGGCTGTTCCCAAGGGAATAGGTCATCTTAATTTTTTCCCTACGTCCAACCTGTACAGTCCTTCTATGGCTACTGCCACCCTGTGCATTACCCTGGGTCATGTCACCTCTCTGCACTGGGGAAGAGGTGCATGCTGAAAATGCTTTGGGCATGATTTTGTGAAAAATAAACTTGGCATAGGAAGAATCAAGTCTAATAATACTCCACATAGCAAACAGTCATGAGATTATATAGCACTATAGATGTCTTGCATAGATGATTCCCTATAACACCACACTATAACAGTTGTTGATTTTAGTCCTCTAAATCTCTTTTTCTTGCTTCGTTGGTCATATACCTATCCTTTGAGTCTATCAACATATGTAGATATGGATTGGGAATAAGAAAACATGCAGATACATACATACATACACACACACACACACACACACAGCCCCAACTCCCAGGAAAGTTTGCACAAAGGCAATATAGGTAATCAACAACAGAAAAGCATAATATATAGTTTCCACACCTCCAAGAAAATATGAGTAGGTCAAATACCTCTCTGGGGATTATATTACTAACATACTAATGGTTGAAAAAAAAATCATTTTACTAATGAAGCGCACCGAGTTTTTAGCTAACTTCATTGTATTAAGTCATTGATGACAGCTAATAAACAATCTAGTCTTCTAAATTTGATGACTATAATGTCAGATCTACCTAGCCAAATCCAAGAGATTTAGGGAAAGAAGGGAATAAATTTCCTAGAATAATTAAAGTGACCTGTACTAGAAATTGTTTTTCACCTGGAGAATCTGGCCCAGAGATTTTTTAGATACTTTTTTCATATATATTCTGAAGTTAAAAAAAAATAAACCTTTAATTTACAGAACTTTTTATTAATCTTTTGAAGTTCAGTATTAGGGCAATAGATAAATCCTTGCTAAAGATGTAATTCTTGGTTTTCAGTTACTCATTCTTTCCAAATGGGAGGAAATATTTTATTGAATAATTAAAATATGCCTTTTTCAAAATATTTTCCTA